ATAAATAATAATATATATACACACTAAAACAAAAAAAAAAAAAAAACAAATAAAAAAAAATATATAAATATATATATATATATATATATATATATATATATATATATATATATATATATATAGTTTTGGATTGTTGCGCACATATTAAGAAAATCAACCAATATGCAATGGTTATAACTTATAACAACAAATAATGACAATCAACAAAATATCCTTGTCGTTAATTGTTGCTCAACAAATAATGAAAATAAACAAAGTATCCTTGTCGTTAATTGTTGCCCAATCCACCTTTGTCCCGAAGCGCCTTATAACGAATAATGTTTTAGTGGCCTATGAAACAAACCATTTCATTAAATTAAATTCTTGGAAGCGAACTAAATTTATGGCAATTAAACTGAACATCAGTAAGGCACACGATCGTATCCAGTGGGTTTTTCTGAGAAGAATCTTGAGTCGTGTCGGTTTTCCCTCTAGCTTGATTGAATTGATTTTGTTATGTGTTTCATATGTTTTTATGCATTTTTATTCAATGGTTACGAGTTTGGTTCCATTGGACCATCTAGGGGGCTTCGTCACGACGATCTCCTTTCGCCTTATCTCTTTATCTGATCTGTTGCACTGAGGCCCTTATCTCGATGATCCATAAGGCGGCCGATAGTGGAGGTATTCAAGGCATCAAAATTGCTCCGACGGGGTCGCCGATCTCGAACCTTTGCTTCGAAGATCATACACCTTTTTTTTTTTTTTTTCTGTTTTATCATGCTACTGTTTTGAGTGCGTCCACCCTTAGGCGTATTCTTGATGAGTATGCGCCTGCATCTGGTCAACTCATTAACTTGGATAAATCGACCATGATTTTATGTACATCTACTACGGAGGAGGATCGGAGAAGGAGATGATCACAAATATTCTTCGATTTCAAGTGGTGGATAAACATTACAAGTACTTGGTTGGGTATGCCGTCATCGATAGGATCATCTCGTAAGGCTGTTTCTGGTTACCTCAGAGATCGTGTTTGTAATAAAATCAAAGGCTGGAGTGAAAAGACGCTATCGAAGGTGGGGAAAGAGGTTCTCATCAAGTCAATCCTACAAGCTATTCCATCATATATTATGGGATGCTTTATGCTTCCATGTGGATTGATAAAAGAGATTGAATCGGCAATCCATCGTTTTTGGTGGGGAAATGGGAGCGATACCACATGCATGGCGCAGTTTTCTGATGGTTAAAGTCTGGAATTCGCATTACAGTGGGTAATGGTCGAAACTGCCATTTGGGGTGATCCATGGTTAGTGGCTTTAATAAAGGAGGTCTTTCTCTCGTTCATTTCGGGACTCCGATGGACGATTCCCTTAGTTAATTTGACACGTCTTTGCTTTTGTGTTTATATTTTGTTACCAACATCTTCTGTTATAACTTCAGTTTACAACTCATTTTCGGCCATAGCTGTTGTTTACAAGTGACGACGAAAAAATTAAAGGGAGTTTCGTGTAACTATTTATCAGAAAAAAAAAAAACAATTATAAAACTATTACAAAAAGAATGTAACCAAAAAAAGAAAGATAAACAGTTATAAGCCAACTAAACCAAACACATAATTTCACCGGATTCGCAGCTCCGTTGAATATTTTACTGAGCATTATTTGTCTGGAACAAGAATTTTCCTGAACTTTGTTACTATAATACCGTTCGAAGTCAAAATACAAAACGAGATGAAACCGAAAACAACGAGAGAGAAAACACAATATTGTCACAGTACAAACTATTTTACACACGCAGTATAACTTCCAAAATCACATACAGTTTTACGGCATACCATGGTTCAGCCAGTTACAGTTGTCTTTGCAGCAAGATGTACAAGAGCGCGTTTATGGTAAGTATAACGCATCTTCTTGTATTTCTGTACAAATGCTGGAAGATCAATCTCTCCATCAAGAAGCTGCCTGTGAAGCGTCTCCGATTCCTCTTCTGTTTTATTCATTGCATCTGTAATAATACGACAATTTGTTCCAGTTTAATTCACAAATATCATTTGAGTTGAAGCTATCACATATCAACCCTATTCACAATTGTCCTTTCGTAAGAAACTCAAAGACTCGACATGCAGAAATAGATTGACATATGAAGCAAAGCAAAAGTCAAACCACTCTCGTAAACGAATAATATAATGAGGGGGGAAAAAAAGCTCGGAGGCCCCTGCCCCCGTTATGAGGGAAATAAACAATAATGAACCATTACTAAATTATACTAGCATGGCATTTTTTTTTTTTTGTGAATTGTGATAATTCAGTCAGAAGACTATCAATCCAAGGAAAAAATAGTTCATTGAGTTTTGAGAGAAAGATCCGATTTATACATGTTAAGTATAAATTAATGAAAAACAAATTTTGGGTTGTAGTAAAGGAAGCATGATTATTCCTATGATCATCAAAATAATCATAAAATATAGGCAATTAATTATAGAAGGTATTCCATGGAGACGGTCGATTTGTGAATGATACTGTCATTGTTATGGTGAAACTTGAAGAGGTTTTGGGTAAGACGGCATTTAGAAAAAAACGACGTACTTGGTGAAACTGAACTGACAAAACCGACTTGATTACACATTGCCAAAATATTAAGGTTACCCCAATAAGGCACATCAGACTTGTCGTACTTAACAAATAAAACTCGTTGCCAAGCTAAATAAGCATACATACCTTGAAGCCGAACGAGGAGAGATGAGGGTGAGTAATACTTAAGAGTATCTTCTTTTTTCCTCTCTAATTCATGCAATTTTTCTTGAGCAGTTGCCAGCTCTGTAGTTCGAATTATTCTGCACTGAAGCCACGAAAACCAAGAAGAAAAAACAATGTCATAAGTGCATATTGCGTCCAAAAGAAAAAATTAAGTGGAATGCAATCCAAGGCCACACAACTAACCTGATTCCTTAGCTCCATTATGCATGGTTCTTTGTCCACATTTTCTCCTGTATATAAGATCATTAATTATTATGCTTGATAAAAGTGCAGTAATGTTTCAAAAAAGAAAATGAATATGCGGCAAACAGAGGACTTACTAGCAAGCTGCAGTGTTTCGTTCCTAAGTTCGTCTCTGACCTGATTTGAGTAAACATATACAATGAGTTGCGTGATATGAAGACTACATAAACAGAATAAGCACGAAGAAACAAATATAAATACGGTGGAAGTTTGAAAATCCAAACTAGAGCCACATGTGCACACACATATACACACCAAACGTGGTCCAAGTTTAGGAGATACGAGAAATGCATCAAATGAAACTGAAAAAAAAAGAAAAAAGTCCTGGAAATCTAATTTGTGTGTGTGTGTATATATATATATATATACATCACGCAAAACAAACCCAAGTTTAACAGGATAAGCACCAAGTTAGAACCAAGAAGACCAAAACGGTAAATAACGATAGAAATATGAAGGGGAAAGAAAAACCATGAAACTTACCCTGTTTTGAGTTTTAACAGGTTCGAGTGAAAGTAAGAGATTCTGATAAGCATCCTTGTCCGACAGTAGCTTCCTCAGATCATCAACACTATCATTAAACAAAAACAACAAGGCTACATTTTATTCATCAACTCATTACCATCGGTACATTAGCTCAGGATAAACAAAGAATAGCAACTAAGCCACAGTAAACTTATATACTTCAGTAAAGTATATCATCCTACAACCTATGAAAAATATATGCATAAAAAGAATTGTCACCTCTTATCTTTCAAAACAGCAATAATTCCGGCTGCTTCTGCGGGTGAAACATTTGATAAAGAGCTTACTCGATCGGTCGGTCTTGATAAGTTGTTGGAACCAGGCGTTGTGGGGCGAGACGAGCTAGGTGAATTCACAACAGAAGGCGGATACCATGATTCTGTGGGCTGACCTTGCTGCTCCTGAGAGCCCCTGTCGACATAAATGCAATCACAAGAAGAAAATTACACTTTTGTAAATGTAAAATGACATAAGCAAGACAGAACGAAATGCCCGGTAACCTATTACTCATCGTTCGCCCGAAACGGCAAAATCATATTAGGGCATCCATGCCAATTAGGGATCAAATTTTGAAATTATTCAATGAACCAACTGCCTATCACAATATTTCAGTTACATGAAGACAACGCAGAACTGGATTCATCCTATATCTGGAAAATTATTCAACAAAAAATCATTTATTCATATCAGAGAGTAAAATTCCAGAACGATTGACCTCGACGCCGTTCTTTTATATGGAAAATAAATTTAATCAAGGAAAAATAATTCCGATAATCAAAAGGTATTTTCGCATACTGTATCCATTTGGCCTGTTCACAAAATTCATTAAACTGAACGAAAAAGAGAGATTGGAAAAAAAATGAGTGATTACCAGAAATTTTTGAACATGACTTTAAGCAGTTCTCAGTCGTCGATCTTCCGACGGAAAAACAATCAAGGAGGAGCGATCGGAAGTTCCAAACCCTAAAAAATAATCGATTAGTCGGAACCCACGGAGAATCTTCGAAGATTTTGTTTTACGGGCTTCCGGAGACTGAATTTTAAATTGGGGTTTTTTTTTAATCTATTTTATAATTTTTTGTTGTTCAGACTTTCAGATCAAACGTAGGCGTGTTGAGCTTTGTGATTGATGAATTCGTTTTCCTATCGTAATTTTCAGTTCTTACCCTGTAATATTATACCGATTGTGAATTCATCTACATACTTTACATTGTTTGCAACGTATAAAATTAAACAAAATTCACTTGATTGATACATAACATATATGTAAATTCGACATAAAAGAAATTTCAAGATATTTCATCGAATCATGAAATTCTATACAATTCGAAAAACGGAAAGATCCCTCGGATCTAATCATATCATTCCATTATATTGACAATTTCAAAAAACTGATGATACTATTATCATAGTATGAGGGCGGTTATCCCGAAATTTGATAATTACTTCACATTTAGTCCTCCAATCTACCGTGTTGACACTTGACTAGGAGTGGAAATCGGACAGATCGGATCGGATTTGGGTGTTTCGGAAAATTTCCGATTTTTTTCGGAAGTCCAAAACGCCTTCCGATTCCGATTCCGATTTTTTCGGAATTCAAAAAGTGATTCCGATTCCGATTTTTTCGGAATTTTCGGAATTTTTCAGAAATCTTCATTTTCGTAATTTTCGGAAATTTTCGGAATTTTCCCAAAAAAAAAACAAGAAAAAATTGATAACAGACAAAGTACCCAAATTGCAGAAAGAAACATCAAATAAGTAATCTTCACAAATACAAGAGATTCACACAAATAACAAAACAGAACATACTCACACAAAAACACACAACAGACACCAATATATATTGGTGGTCTTCGGAGAGCCGGGAGGCCTGGTGGCGATGGTGGTGGTTGGAGAATCGGGAGGCGCAAGTGGTGGTGGTCGTCGGAGAATTGGGAGGCGCTGGTGGTGGTGGTGGTTGTCGGAGAGCCGAGATGCGCTAGGGGTGGTGGTCGTCGGAGAACCGAGAGGCAGTGGTGGTGGTGGTCGTTGGAGAAGGCGCAGGTGGTGGTGGGGGAGAAAGAAAGGTCGCAGATTGCTGAGAGAGAGAGAGTCGGGAAATTAGGTTTTCGAAGTAATTCTAATAAATTTTGAGTTTTGACTTTTGTATGTTTTAGAAAATTAAAAAAGTAATATACTAATATATATTACTAGTAATTAGTATGGGATAACTACACTTTTGGTCCCTCATGTTTGGCCCGATTTTACTTTTTGTCCTCCTTGTTCTAAAGTGAACAAAGTTCACCTCCAAGTTTCAATTTTAAACATTTTTGGTCCCTGTCGTTAAATTTCCGTTAGCAAGTAACGGAAAACACTATTTTGGGGTACAAATTGAAATTTTAAATTTTTTGGGTCTGAAAAATAATTACAAATTAATAATAATAAAAAAAAAAATTAACCAAAAAAATTATTTTTTATTATACTTAATATTATTATAATTATACTACTTATAATTAAATTTTTAATAATAAAAAAAATTAACTAAACTAATTATTTTTAATCATACTTAATATTACTTTTAATTATACTACTTATGATAAAAAAAATTAATAACAAAAAAATTAATTAACTAAACAAATTATTTTTTATTATACTTAATATTATTATAATTATACTACTTATAATTAAATTTTTAGTGATAATTTTTTTTGTCCACTATGATAAAACGTTTTGGGGCCTCGTTGGTAATAAAAAAATCCGAAGCGACCCTATCGATTCTTTTGTTTTTAATAATAAAAAAGAAATTAATTAAATAAATGATTGTGAATTATACTTAATATAGTTTTAATTATACTACTTATGATTATTTTTTTAATAATAAAAAAAGTAATTAAATAAATTTCATTATACTTAATATTATTAAAAATTTAATTATAAGTAGTCTACTTTTAATTTATAATTATTTTCAGCCCCAATAAAATTTAAAATTTCAATTTTCACCCCAAAATAGTGTTTTCCGTTACTTGCTAACAGAAATTTAACGGCAGGGACCAAAAGTGTTTAAAATTGAAACTTGGAGGTGAACTTTGTTCACTTTGTTCACCAACTCTCACACCTCATCGAGTTGTTTGGCTTCCACCGGATCCGGGTTGGGTGAAGCTAAACACAGACGGAGCCCGTAGAGCATCCACCCAGATTGCAGCTATCGGCGGGATTATCAGAGGTTCGGACGCTGAGGCCATACTTGCATTTCACGAGAGGATCTCTGCCCCGAGCACTATTGCAGCCGATCTTGATGCCCTTGCCTCGGGGCTGCGATTTGTCATTCAGAGGTAATTCACTAGAGTTTGGATCGAGCTTGACGCAGAAGTCGCTGTTCGACTTCTTTCGCACACGGATCAAGGTCATTGGAGTCTTCAGAGTTCTCTCACGACGATCCGAAACTCTCTTTCTACTTTGGAGTACATGATTACACATATCTACCGGGAGGGCAATACAGTAGCTGATGCATTAGCTAACTTGGGGTGTCAGACCGAGTTGGCTCGTACCTTCACAACAGCGGAGCTTCCCCGACCTATTCAGCAGATGATTCGGATGGACCAACTTGGATATCCATCCTTTCGACGACAGTCTCGCACATAGGTGCCATGCATTCCACGTTTTTATATTATTGGCAATTGAGGAATTTTCGTGAACTTTACATGTTAGGAAGGGTTGGGGTGATTATGGATTGTTTGGGTCTATCAAGACTAGACTGTTTGCCGAATGGTGCCACACATTTCGCAGCCGTTATACCTGTTTCTCCCATTTTTCGCGAAAGTGTAAGTGGCTTCGGCTGTTGTGGTGAGGCGAACGGTCTACCTTGGTCTTCCCCGACCTTCTATGATCATTCCCACCCCGTCCTTTTTATTATTTGGGCCACCTGTTTTGTCTGTATTCTTAACGTTTTGTTAGTTAGCTATTGTCTTTTGTTTGTCAATTGCTATTATTAGCCATATGTTGGGCACTAGCAATTTGAGCGAAACTCATTATGTACTTCTTAAATTTTGTTTTATAAACAGGTAGGGAGTCAAGCCTAACCCCCCACCCTCATTGGGTGTCGTTCTCTTAAAAAAAAAAAAAAAAAAAACAAGGGGGACCAAAACTGAAATCGGGCCAAACATGAGGGACCAAAAGTGTAATTATCCATAATTAGTACAGACCGCGGATCGATATAGACATATAGTATATATTATATATAGTAATAAATATTAATAATTTATAATTGGAAAAATCGGAATAAATCGGAAATAGTCGGAAATAATCGGAAATATTCGGAATAATTTCGGATCGAAAATCGGAAATTCCGAAATTTTGTTATGTATTTCCGATTCCAATCCGATTTTTTTCGGAATTTTCGAAAATCGCGGAATTTCGGAATTCGGAATTGAAAAAGTCGTTTCAAAATCGGAATATTTCGGATCGGATTCGGCGGAAATCGGAACTTTCGTTCCAATTTCCACCCCTACACTTGACAATTGACAGATACTTGTAAAATCTTGAAACGAATCGCAAAATCGTTGTCTACAAAATACAAATACAGTTAAACCTCTATAAATTAATACAATCGGGACCAAGGAAATTTTATTAATTTAGCGAATTATTAAATTATCGAGTTAATAATATAACGCGTTTTTACCGAGTCGGGACCAGAATAAACTATTGTTTAATCGAAGTTATTAATTTATCAATTAATTTATCGAGGTTTTATGTAGTTATATTATAATGAAAATAAACACAAATTACTGTTTGAAAAACAGCCTAGAAATACTCATTTACATTCATCCGAAAGCATACAATTACAACGTATTTAAAACCAGTGTTCTAAAAATCGGCCGAGGCGGCCGATTAATCGGTCGCCGAGGCGGAGGCGGTCCAAAACCTTTACGATTTTAGTGTAAAGGTTTGAAAAATCGGTTTTTTGCCTGTGAGGCGGTTTGAGGCGGTCCGAGGCGGTCTGAGGCGGTCAAATCGGCAAAAAAACGGTCAAAAATCGGTTTTTTTTTTTTTTTTTTATATATATAAATCAAAAAAAAAATTGGGATTTTAATAAAAAAAAAAGGAGTTTATGCTTTATTTTGTTTATGTTAATTATTATTTTTAAAGAACTAATGATGTATGCAAAGAATTTATGTAAATTCAAAAAAAATTGCCTTTTTATTTATATTTTATAAGGATATTTATGTATTATAATCTTATTATTATTAAACTTTTATTATGTTATTAGAATATATATACATGATGGAGATATAACTATGTTTAAATATTTTTTATCTATGTTTTGAGTGTTTATAAATAATATCTACAAATATATTATATTAAATTTTAAAAACCGATTTATTTCCGATTTATCACCGATTAATCACCGCCGCACCGATTAATCGTGAGTCGGTGCCTGACCGACTCGGACCCGATTACCGCTTTTTACAACCTTGTTTAAAACATACAAAGTATACGTTAGAAAATGAATTTAAATTTTAGTGATTATTAGTAAAAAGCCCCCAACTTATCTGGTTTAATTAGGATGGATCTCCCCCTTTTCTACTGTTAGTCAAACCCTCTAATTATTAATTAAATAAACATTTAATGAAATTTCAAGTGATCTTCGTAATTTACACTTCTATTAATAATATATAATTTGTTTTTTCTTTCTAAAACCTTAATCCCGTCTCTTCTACTCCTCTCTTTTTTCTCTCCACAAATATCCGCCTCTTCCACCTCTGTGCCGCCACTATCACTCTGCTGCAGCCGCCGCACATCGTCGCGCTCAGCACGGTCCTTACAGATCCTCATCTTCCTCCACCATCCTTACAAATTTATTCATTTTTCCTCTTCCTCTTTCATTTTCGAAATTAACCCCGCCACCGCCGTTTGCCCTCCACCTTGGCACGCACCGCCGCTTGAAGTAAGATTTATAGGTGTCAAGGTGGAAAGCAGGCTATCTAGTAATTTGTATCATCCAACATTGGACGGATCCTTAACAAATCAATCAATTTATGGATAATTTCATATTAGTAGAGATTAAAAAAATAGCTGAAGACATTTCATTCGTCAAGATTGATGCGCATTACTATTTTGAGTCTGGATTGATTTAAGGAGGCGGCTAAAACAAATAACGTTTTTTTCTTACTTCAATACCACCAATATAAAAAATAGATAATAAATAGGTAATGACATTAATACTTTTAATAAAATCAATACCACACAAATTTTGTGTATAGTATTGATTTTCATTAAGGGTGGTAATATCATTACTTATTTATTATCTATTTATTTTTTATTTTTTGTGTTGGTGGTATTGAAGAGAGAAAAAACGGTATTTGTTTTAGCTGCTCCCTTGATTTAATTTATTTTAGGTTGGTATGGTTTGATTTGATTTAGTCTTTTCCACCGAGTTACAGTTGTATGGTTGTTTACATTACTTTGTAGTTGATTTAGTGTTCTGCTATTTTTTTTATAATTTTTTTAGTTGTTTTCGATAGTTTTATAGTTGTTTTCGATTTTTTTTGTAGTTCGTTTCAACAACGTTATATTTGATTTCATTTTTTTTTTATAGTTAGTTTCGTTAATTTATAGTATTTTATTTTTGGTAAACTTGCTATTGTAAACAACTATTTTTTGTAGTTGTTTTACAGTTTTCTTATAATTGATTATGAGAAAACAAATAAAAAATTTAGTTGTTTTCAATAACTGTGTAGCACCAACCCTCATTAGGAGAGTCAGTACCTAGCTTTTACCAATAGGATAAATGTATAGGGTTCGAGTCCCCCTCCCCTACTTCCCCTTGTAAATGGACTTGAATTTTAAAAAAACATAATTGTGTAGCTCTTTCTGGAAGACAAAAGCAAAAAAAATGAAATAAGAAACAAAATCAAAATTATAGTCGATTTCCAATATTTTTAATTGATTTTGAAAAAAATGAAAATTAAAACAAATATTTAAAATCAAGGGGGTCAACACAAAATTAATTTATTCATTTAAAATTCAAAGTATTTTCTTAAATTAAGTCGAGTATATTTATTAATTTAAAATATAAAAACTAAGAAAATAATACTTGAGATGGAAGTTGGATGTAATTTTCAAATTATTTATGTTCTTTTCTCATATAG